AGAATTAATATTTGACAAAGAATAGGAGAGAAATAATTACTATAACATTTAATTCCTGATTTAAAACGATTTATGATTTTTCAAGTAATTATGCAAACAATTAATTTGACGACGTATAGACACTCGTCACCTCGCCTATACGTCGTTCACATGCATTTCACATAACAAATAGTTTAAGGGTTCTATTCACTCAAGTCAAAGTTAACCACGACACTTACCTCGCTTTGTAAATTCCAATCAATTACTCGACTACAACTTTTCCTTTTAAATTTATCTCCAAAAACTTCAAATCTATTCACAAACAATTCGATATACTCAATACGAATCATAGAAATTAATTCCATATGAATTTACTAATTTTTCGGATAAAAATTTAAAATTTACTTTAAAAATTGACAGTGGGGCCCACGTCTCAAATCTCAAAAAAAATTACGAAATCCGAACACCCATTCCGAGACGAGTCCAACTATACAAAAATTACCAAATTTCGATGTCAAATGGACCTTCAAATCTTAAATTTTCGTTTTTGGAAGATTTTATAAAAATCTGATTTTTCTCCCAAAATTTCACTGATTCATGATATAAATGAGTATGGAATCATGAAATATAATCAATAAAGGATAAGGAATACTTACCCCAATGTTTTCACGTAAAAATCGCCCAAGAATCGCCTTACCCGAGCTCAAAAATGGAAAATGGTTGAAAATGGGACAGAACTTAAGTTATGTTTCTCGGATTTTTACCCTTCGCGAACGCGAGGGCTACTTCGCGAACGCGATGCTTACCTGGCTTGGCCTTCGCGAACGCGAAGGCAAATTTTTCTGGCCAGCCTCTTTCCCTTCGCGAACGCGAAGCTTTGCACCTCGACCCTTCGCGAACGCGTTCCCTCTATCGCGAACGCGAAGCACAAAACGTGCCAGCCTAATTTGCTCTTCCCGTTCGCGAGAGTACCTTCGCGAACGCGAAGAAGAACATACGAGAAGCCTGTAGTTTGCAGAAACCAGATTTTTCCAAATTCGAAATTATCCCGTAGCCTATCCGAAACTCACCCGAGCCCTCGGGGCTCTAAACCAATCATGCAACCCAAATCCTAAAATATCATACGAACTTGCTCGCGCGATCAAATCACCAAAATAACACCTAAAACTACGAATCGGACACCAAATCAAAGGAAACTTTCAAGAAAACTTTAAAACTTATATTTTCACAACCGGACGTCTGAATCACGTCAAATCAACTCTGATTCTCACCAAATTCGGCAGACAAGTCATAAATATTATAGTGGACCTATACCGGATTCTAAAACTAAACTACGGATCCGGTGTCAATAAATCCAACATCAGTAAATTCTTAAAAATTATTAAGCTTTTAAACTTTTAATTTTTTATCAAAATTCTATATCTCGGGCTAGGGACCTCGGAATTCGATTTCGGGTATACGAACGAGTCCCAAATTACGATACGGACCTTCCGGAACTATCAAAACACTGATCTGAGTTCGTTTGCTCAAAATATTGACCAAAATCAACTCAGTTGAGTTTTAAAGCTCTATTTCACACTTTAATCTATTTTTCACACAAAAACTTTCTACGGACTGCACACGCAAGTCGAGAAATGATAAATAGTGCTTTTTGAGGTCTTAGAACACAGAATTAATTATTAAATTTAAAAATAATATTTTGGGTCATCACAAGAACCATATTATCCACATTAGAAAATGAATAACCAATGGATAATTAATGGGTTTAACTTTTACATTTGTAAAAATTTAAATTGCGGGTTTCTCAAGTTTGGGAAACTAAGAATTCTCCCAAAAGTGATCATATTCAGGAAGCTCTATATTATCCGCAAGTTAACCCATTTTCTATCCGTATTAAATATGGATTGGGTCGGATAATTTATCCGCTTTTGCATTACTTATTTTCGACCCATCCATATCCGATCCGATCTGCCTGTTTGCCACCCTTACTATATGGTATATATAATACCTAATACTAGGAATAGTATTTCTTACATCAATATTATCATCTATAAAAGATATTAGGTCTATAAAAACATAATATATCATCTTCGTAAAAATATATATAAATAACCTACCTAAATTCTTAGTCGTCAAGTTCAAAAGATAAACAATAACTATGCATTCAACTATTTCATCAATGTAACATTTATTTTCTAATTTAAATAAATATTATATTTATCTTGATGTCAATTGTTATTACACATAATTCATTCTTATTCTAAATTTTATATACTTTTTATTAATAAACGCAAAAATACGGGTAACTCACGTACACTAAAACTAGTATTATTATAAAAGCACGAATATTAAAACGTTAAATGTTGAACGACTAAAATATCCTTAAGATATTAACAGACTTTTATACCCTTTAGAACTAAATCATTCTTTCATATAAATAATTTCATAGTGGATAAAATTGTAAATTTAATATTGAGAACTTTGCTCTGAAGAATCAGCGTTACGTTCACGAAGGAAACTTCTTGTTGAATGTCTCTCAACTTTATTTAATTGGAATCTGTTACATGTCTACTGTTCCACCTTCTTGCTGTTCTAACTTTCTTTGTCTCTCAATTTTAATAGGAATCCATTGCTTTTCCAGACTATTAATCATATGGTGTTATTTTAGTATATCTATTGTATTGGTTCTTTCTATGCATGCTTGTGGTCGTATTGATGTTTTTATATAATTGCATTATTGTGTTATATCATATATGGATGGCGATGGTAGTAAGATTTACAAATATAATACAGGAATATGATTTCTAACCGTGGTTGATACTCTCATCATATCCTTAAGATTTAAATGTGTAAATCGAGAATGAATACTCAATGCAAAGACAACGAAGAAGTCTGTGTCACTACTCAATAGTAATCCCAAGATATTGAATAATCTTTATAACATCTAAGAATTAAATTACTTCTTTATAAAGATGATTCATGTTGAATAAAATTGTACTCCATCCCATACATAATAAGTGATCAATTTGTCTTTTTATTTTGGTTCAAAATAAGTGTCAATTTATATAATCAAGAAAAAATTCAATTTATTTTTTCAAAATTACCTTTTTTAACTCTTCACATTAAATTATGCTGCAATATTTAATTAAAGATAATTTAGTCGCACTAACTATTTTTATCTAGAATTTAGTATATTTTCTTAATGGGTGTGCCCAAGACAAATTGATCACTTATTGTGGATCGGAGGGAGTAATATTTAAGTTATACTCCTATCTAATATGTAGGGCTTTTAAGTCAACTAAGATTTTTGTTCACTTTGAATTTAGAGAAATCAACTATACCGCAAACGCAATTTGACAGAAATTACTGCATATATAAAAGATGCGGCTTAAATCAGTTACAGTAAAAGAGTTTTCTATTGGTTTGATATTCAAAATATTTCTGGAATTTCGGTTGCAAACAAATATTCTATGTAATGGTAGAAGAGGAGGGAAACTGGTTATGAAGTTCAAGCTAGTGTTTAAGATAAAATTTAAAGTTACCTATCATATTTACAAGTCAGTCTAAGACTAGCTAAAGATTTCGATTTAGAGTTAATTAAAGAAGGCACCAAAATTAGCCTGTTAATATTGAAGATAATTTTCAAACTCGTAATGCGAAAATTTACTCGCTGGATGAGAATGTTTGTATAATAGGTTTTTTGAGTCTATGTTTTTTCATTTGATGCCATAAATCAAGGCACCATCTCTAATTGAAGCACTAATTCTTTTTACTTATTTTAATGTGTGATTAAAATAGTCTGGTGTGGTGATAAAAATGGAATGTTTTATACTGGTAAGTCACTAAAATCAGACGCGTATCGTTTGTGTTCATCAAAGCAAACACTCAACTATTCAATATACAAAATTTATGAACACATACATGTTTTCTATTAGAAAGACAAAAAGATAACATGATGAAAAAAAAATTTGAAATGGAAGAATAATTTGATAAACGAAAGGGTAAAGTGACATCCTTTTTCAAAAAATAGTTGCTTAATTGGCATAATTTGAGACATGATGTGAAATATGTTTATTATTTAAAGTTGGATAAAATTTTTATTTTTAATATAAAGTATGGGCAAAAAATATTTTTTTTTTATCTTTTAACCTTTAACGAAAGACACCTATATAAAAACTAATATTGTATGTATTAAATATATATGAATCGCGATGCTTGGACCTTTCCTCGTCACTCGAACCTCTTAAATTTGTGGTCAGACAAAGTAAATCAATATTGAGTTTATTTGTAGCAGTTCTGCTGACTAGTTACGCATTATATAGCATTGGTATCTGATAGTATGCATAGACTGTGACACCTAAATACTGAGATAAAGCAAATTGTTTATAGTATCGAGTGAAAGAAAAGATGGAGTTGCACGTTCTGCATTGCCGTATCCCAAGATTTGTTCACTCTGTTATATATGTGGAGGGGAAGGGCACAATAATAACCACTTTTACGGCTATTTGTTTAAAAGATTGCCAATATTTACAATGTAATTAAAGTTTAGTAGCTTATTGGATCAGATGGGTCATTCAAACACCTTATCTCTCTCTAACCAAACTCTCTCTACCTTCTCCCTGTGATTTCAACCAACCCACCTAGACCACTAGAGGTCCCACAACTAGGGGCGGAGCTACAATAGTGGGTGTGGGTTCGGACGAACAAAATAATTTTTTTCGAAATGCTGTATTTGTATTGAAATATTTATTAAATCTATATAAATATATACTGCCAAACCCAGTAACAAAAGGGGTCTTGGTTCAACGGTAAATGTTGTGGGTTCGCTGAAAAACATGGGGGTTCGATTCCCTCTAAAAACAGTATTTTATTTTAAAATTTAGAACCCACACATATCAAATCCTAGTTCCGCCTCTACCCAAAACTACCTCCACCAGCCCCACCCGATCCACCACCCCAAAATAGCAATCACCAATCGACACCTCACCATCAGAATTTACCAACATCAATTGCCACCCACTCGACGACCAACAATACCCAAATTACTACCCCAAAGACCACCGTCCAAACTAAACCCACTTTGACTACACATCCGTCACTTGAAGATGTGATTCATTTGGACGGCACAAGCACTCAAACACTATCAAACCCCCAATATGAAACCCTATTATCCAACACAAACAAGTAATACCGAATACCCAAAAGAGTAATTTTCTCCCACCATCACTGAAGGTTTCTTCTATTTTTGACCCCCCCACCTCGTCACAACCGAACCAATAATAGTATCCAAAATCCCCAATCCAATGTTTAACAAAATGCAAATCAGAACACGGGAAACAACAATCCTTCCTCTAGCTCGAATAATAATTCCAAAAATCAACCTCGACCACCCATTCCAGTGTCCAAGCCGTCCTTTGCAGCCAGTGTCTCCGCTTCTCTCGCAAATAGCTCAAGTGCTAAGCAGCCTGTTGAAATTACTCATGGTACTCATATGGGCAAACCCGCAGTCTACTTCTCTACACAAGACTTTTTTGTTACTCTGGCTGAAGATTGCAAGTTCACAATTGTTGGGAAGTTTACTAGAGGTAAACCTAACATGGAGGAAGTAAGGAGGTTATTCATCAGTCATATTCCGCTTAAAGGTTCTGTCAAAATAGCCTTTTATGATATAAATCATGTTTATGTTGATTTCTCCTATGAAATAGATTTTTACCATATCTACTTTAAATCGTTCATCACCCTTGGTCCATACATAATGAAGATTATTAGATGGACCCTCGACTTTGCCACCGAATGTGAGACTATAATTGCTCCTGTATGGATTCTCATTCATCAACTCCCTTGGCATCTTTTTAGGTGGGACATTTTATCAAGAATGGTTAGTTCAGTTGGTACTGCTATGGCTCCTGATATGGCCACCTACTCTAAATCTAGAGGTAATGTGGCCAAAATTAAAGTTGAAATTGATCTCTTGAAACCTAGGAAGGATCAAATCTAGCTTGGATTCAAGAGATTAGATAGTAATGAGGAGGATGGTTATTGGCTAGATATTGAATATGAAGGTGCTCCCTCATACTGTCAGTATTGTTGTATGCAAGGACATGATATACTCTCCTGTAAAAATAAGAATAGAGACGAAGAAATACAAGCCCAAGTCACAGCCAATAATGAGGAGAATACTGATCAATGAAAAGTTCAAAAAGGAAACAAGAAAGGTAACCAACACATGAATGGGAGTAATAACTTGAATGTATTACCACAACAATCTCACCAGGAAGTCATAGATACACGACACAAAACTCAATCACAAAAGGATGACCAACCAACTCAACAGCCGAGAGATCATGGTACCTAGAACAATCAGCAACAGGTTCTGAACAAGAACAAATCAGTTGAGTAGGCAGCACAACCTCAACAGGTACCAAAGCAAAAGATTGTAGCTAAGAAAAAAGTACAATGGCAAGTTAACCATAGCAAGAAAATCACCAATACCTTACACTACAATAACTCAAAACAACCAACTGCTCAAACAACAGATTCCAACCAAGTTAGAACCAAATCAAAACCAGACACACATCAAAGCATAAGTCCCCATCCTCAAGCTACTTATCAACCTTCCACTAGTAAAACTTCTCAGATTGTTCCTGATAACATATCCAAGACAAAACTCCAAATGATCACTAACATCCCTTCCATCTCAATAGTCCCAAAATAACAATATTTATCAGCCACAAAACCTAAACTGCCAAAACCAACACAAATTATCCCTTCCCAGCAAATAATCTCTCAAGTAATTCAGTCAGGTAAGGCTTAGGCAAACTCCACCCCTCAAGAGCCACCAGACCCTCCCCCTCTTGAAAACTTCCCACCTGAACACAACTCCGATAATCATAAGCCATCTAAGAATGCTCTTTCATATAGCAGTGATGAATTAGAACAGGGTATGCTAAATGTCGTTGATTCTTAATTTGATGCTTTAGGAAAAGAATCAGAAACTGCTGAATATAATCAGGTTGTTAATGACTCTGAAGATGACTTTGAAAGTATTGAACAACAGTGTGATAGTGATGATGCTCAATCAGTTACCAGTGATGATCATGCAAACAAATTGTTAGAAATTTTCTCACATCACCACCATCACAAGAAGTTGATCAAGCCTTTGAGGAAGTGATTGGCCAACATCACCTTTCACCTCGGGGACATAAAATAATCAAAGGTAGGTTTACATCAACAAGAGGTGGTCTCTCAAGCAGAGGTAGCAGAGAAAACAGAAGAGGCAAAGGTATTCCTGCTGCGAAATTTTCACAACACAAAGATGATTAATCCACATCCTTTTAATGATTAAGTTTCTTATTTGAAATATTAGATGCATCACATCTCAAGGTGCCTTTGACAGAATTAAGTAACTTAAAAGAAGTCACAACCTCATTTTCATAGCTATTATGGAACCTTTCAGTGGAGAACTAAATTGGAGAAGTTTAATAGAAAACTTGGGTTTGATTTTGCATATGCAAACTGTAGCAACAAGATCTGGTTTTTTGGCAATAATTCTATTAATTGTAATGTTATTGAATATTTCCCTCAACTTATCAATTGTTCAATTGATAACAATGGAGAGACTCTATTTATGACTTTGGTGTATGCTAACTGCAAAGCTAATCTCAGGGAGACATTGTGGGATAGTATCAAAATAATTTCCGATGGAATTAGCTCTCTGTGGATGGTGGCCGGGGATTTTAACTCTATTATTGATCCCTAGGAAAAAATGGAGGGAATGATTACAATATGTCCAAAAGCTTACCCTTCATCAATTGTATTGTTGGCAGTGAGTTAATGGATATCGGCTCCTCTGGCAATCCATTTACATGGTGTAATGGATGGGTTCCTGCTAGGAGGATATGGGCAAGATTAGATAAGGTACTTGTTAATTTTGAATGGTTGCAGGGATTTGCACACACTTCTGTCACTCATTTGGTATAACTGATTCTGACCATGCTCACCTTCTGGTCTTCACATCTAATCCTCGCTGGGAACCTAAGAAGTATTTTAGATTTTTAGACTTCTGGACTGAACAAGAGGGCTTTATGTAAGTCATGGAACAAGCATGGCAATTGCAGGTATAAGGTGGTCCTATGTGGAGATATTACCTAAAACTTAAAATGTTTGTAAGAGTCTTTCCTTCTGGTCTAAAAACCCTATTGGCAATATGTTTGACAAGACCAAAGAATTACAAAACATGCTTAAGACTCTAGAGGAGAGATACTTGGATGACAACTCAGAATGCAATAGAATGAAGTACAATAGTGTGAATGCTCAATTGATTAGGCATATTAAAAATGAAGAATCTTTCTGAAGACAAAACACTGGCTTGAAGTGGTTTACTGATAGAGATAATAACACAAGGTTCTTTCACTCTGTAATCAATTCTAAGAGGAAAAATTTGCAATTGACAAGAGTTAAGAAGCAGGATGGCACATGGCTTGAGAACATGGATGATATTGTTGCTGAAGCTGTCAGCTTTTTTGAGCAACAGTTCATACAAGAAATTACTTGCAAAGTTTTTTCAATCCTAAGGGGGCTTCCAATATTGGTCAACGAAGAAGATAACTTGTTGTTAGAAGCCCTCCCCTCCATGGAAGATCTAAAACAAATGGTATTCTCTATGAGCAGTAGTAGTTCACCTGGTCATGATGGTATTTCTGAAAAAAATTCTTTCAACGTTGTTGGGATATAATTGCTAATGATCTCTATGATGTGGATTTGGACTTCTTTTCTATAACTAAACTTCCTAGGTCCTTCACTCATACATGCCTTGTCCTTATTCCCAAAATTGAGAATCCTCAGCAATTCACTGATTTTAGGCCTATTAATCTAAGCAACTTTACTTCCAAAATTATCTCAAAGTTGCTTAATAATAGGTTAGCCCCTCTTGTGAATAGGATTATTTCTCCTAATCAAACTGGATTCATTAAGAGAAGAGCTATTTCTGATAACATCATGCTCACTCAAGAACTTGTCCATAACTTGAATAGGTCCAATATAAATGGTAATGTTGTATTCAAACTGGATATGGCAAAGGCCTTTGACAGAGTTGCCTGGGATTATCTCTGCCAGATAATGAGGCAATTAGGATTTTCTGAATTTTAGATTGATATGGTGGCTAGATTGATTTCCAACAATTAGTATTCTATTAATATCAATGGAGTGACATGGTTTTTTTTAATCATCTAGAGGTTTGAAGCAAGGGGATCCACTATCTCCCTCTCTTTTTGTCATTGGTACTGAATTACTATCCTACATGAGGGATCAATTGATACATGATAATTTCATCCCTTTCTCTGTGGATAATGGAAGCCCCTTAATCACACATCTCACATATACTGACGACACCATCCTCTTCTCCTTTGGTGACTTGCTTTCCATTACCATGATGATGAACAAGTTGGAGAAGTATGAACAAATCTCAGGCCAAATGGTGAATATAAGGAAATCTGCTTTCATGGTATCTTCTAATACTCCACCCCCTGTAATTGAGGACATCAAAGCTATCACTAGTTTTTCCCATGCCCACTTCCCTTTTACTTATTTTGGGTGTCTAATTTTTCCTGGGAGAAAGAAAATATGCTATTTTTGGAATATGGTGGCCAAAATAGCAAACAGAACTCAGGGGTGAAAAGGGAAGATTCTTTCCTTTGGGGTAGAGCAGTCCTTATTAGGTTTGTATTGCATTCTATCTCTTTACATATCATATCTTTTGTGCATCCACCAAAAATTACCCTTGATCATATTTAAAAAATCTCTTTCTAATTTTTTTTGGGGCTCATCAGAGAGCAAGAGGATCTATCATTAGTTTTCTTGGAAAAATTTATGTTATCCTAAGTTGGAGGGAAGGGTAGGTTTTATGTCATTGTATAACATCTGCATTTCTTTTGCTGCTAAAGCATGATCAAACTTTAGGACTCAAAAATCTCTTCTCACCCTCTTCTTGGAAGCTAAATATTGCAAAAGATATCATCCAGTTTCTAGGAAAAAAAAGCTATTTTTAGTCACACATTTAGAGAAGGCTAATGGATATCAAGAAGGATTGTGAAGATCATATTTTATGGAAAGTAGGTAAAGGTAACATCTCATTTTGGTGGGATAACTGGACTAACAAAGGTGCTCTTGCTAAGCTAATCTAACATGAAAACATATCCAAAAAGATAAAAGTTTTTTTTCTCTCACAACCAATGGTCGATGGATAAACTTAATGATACCCTCCCCTCTCATCTGGTATCTCATATTCAGTCCATTAAGATTTCATCAGAAGAGAATGACCAGCCTATCTAGCTTGCTAATCCTTCTGGATCGCTCACTAGTAAATCAACTTGGGAAACATTTAAAAAATCAAGAGGTTCATCCCGTACTCTTTCGAAGATCTGGCCCTGTAAACTACCATTCAAAGTCTCCTTCCATGTACTGAGATAGCTTAATGGTAAACTTGATACTGATGATTCTCTGACTAGATTTAATGTACATGGGTCATCAAGATGTTATTGTTGCGCCATTTGCAATATTGAAACTACTAAACATTTATTTTGTGAGGGGAAAGTTGTTGTCCAAGTCTAGAAATACTTTGAAGATGTGTGTTGTTTGTCTACTTGTTCTACTCGAGGCATCAGGGCTAATTCATCAAATGGTGGCTCATCAAACCGCAGAACAAAGTACATGAAATGATATTGCAATGCTTCCCTTCTCTTATCTGTTGGGAAATTCTGAAATATAGATATACTTATAAATATGAAGGTATTAGAGGCTCTATTTCCCTAGTCATTGATCAGATTACCACCATGATGAATTTGATGCTTTCTACTCAATTTCCCTCTCTATCCTTTATCTCTCCATTTTCCAAGATAACGTATATGGTAGATAGAATAAAGCCCCAATTAAATATTATACCTGTGAGCTGGAAAAAACCTACAATAGGGGATCTCAAATTAAATGTCGATAGGTGTAGCAAAGGGAACCCCGGTATCACAGGAGGTGGAGAGATCCTGAGGGATTATCTTGGTCATATGATTATGGCATTCACTGTGTACCTTGGTTGTTGCTCCAACAACTCTGTTAAAGCTCAAGCAATCAAAATTGGTTTGAGATGGTGTTTAGACAATGGTTTTAACAAGTTAACAATAGAGTCAGACTCTTTTCTTATGATTCAGATGATTAAAGGAAATATCACCACTTCTTGGCATATCAAGGATGAAATCTCAGAGATTCAAGCTATGAACCTAGTTGGACATTTTCAGTTTGATCATACTTTCAGAGAAGGCAACATCCCAGCCGAACTCCTTTCTAACTTAGTTGTATTGGATAGGAAAAATATATTCTTCACTGAGGCTATAGGTCTACCAAGGCAGATTATATCCCCAATGAAGAATGATGAGATAGGGAGGCCAAATTTTAGAATCAGGTTGAGAAAGAGTACCTTCATCTTTGATCCAGGTTGACTGATTTTTGGTTGTTCCTCTATCCATTCTAGCTTTGTTTTGAGAGGTCAGGATTATACCCCCATATATGTTCCTTTTGACTTATAAATATATTCCCCCATGGGGAGCTTTGATTAAAAAAAAATATAGGATCAGATGGGGGCAAACTTCACACATAGAGTCGAACCTTAGGTTAATTTAAAGTTGGCAGAACTTCAGACTGCGTAGTCCAGTGGCTTGCAGTTAGAGGTGGATTCAGAAATTAAATTTAATGGGTTCAAGTTTTAAGATTTTTAGCATTAATCTTGAACCCATTAATACTTTTTCCTAGACTGAGCTGTGAGAAGTCGATCTTGAATAATCTTGACCTTATCCAAGGCATCCTGTACCAAATCGGTATGTCGACCTTAGTCTAGGCAAAAGATTAATGGGTTATTCCCTAAAAATCTTTTGCCAAGACTGAGCTGTGCGAAGTCGATAATCTTGACCTTATCTAAGGCATCCTGTACCAAATCGGTACCCAACAACCGAGCCTCTCCCGGTTCAAACCAACCAACTGGCGATTGGCATCGCCTTCCGTATAATGCCTCATATAGATCCATCTGAATGCTCGACTGATAGCTATTATTATAAGCAAACTCCTCACGTGGCAAGAAATGATCCCAAGAACCTCTAAAGTCTATAACACAAGCGCGGAGCATATCTTCCAATATCTGAATAGTGCGCTCTGACTGTCCGTCTGTCT